GATAATAATGAATTACAGTAGTCCAGCCTAGAAGTAATAAATGCATGAACTAGTTTTTCAGCATCACTCTGAGACAGGATATTTCTAGTTTTAGAGCACAGGTGTCGAACTCCAGGCCTTGAGGGTCAGTGTCCTGCACGCAGTGGCGGTCCTAGCCTGTTTGGCACCCTGGGCGAACATTCCCTCTGACACATAAAACTTTAATGTATTGTTTGGAGTTTAGTCCTGTTACTGTTACTATTTTTACCATTTCTTCTTGGAGCAACTGTAACCCACATAATTTCCTTAGGGATTAATAAAGTATTCTGATTCTGATTGTTTCAGGATGACCTGCCATTATCCAATGACACATCTGCTTACCTGTATCTTTTGCTCGTTTCTCCTCTTCTTTTCTCTTTTTCTAAACTGAGCACCTGATGGCTTTGAACTTTTCTTGTCCATCTTGGTTTTAATTTTGCACTCCAGTATGAACACCCATTCCCCAACCCGAGGATCACCACAACATAATCTAATAGACCTACACCTTAGTTCACAGATTCACTTTGTCTAAGGTGTATCTCTGGGATTTCACACAACCCAGGATTCAAATCATGAATAATGGGCTTGGATTTACATCATTATGAATTAAATGTGCTCTGGAAGTAGCCGCCCCTGCCCTTTCGACGGGTTGTGTGTCAGACTTTAAATCATCAAACTATAAAATATAAATTTTAAATTGTTATTGATCCCTTTACCCCCAGTCCTAAAGTGTATATTTATTTTCTTACTCTTCTTATATTTATTGTTTGTTTACTTGCACGGCTGTAACTGGAGCCTCGTCGTCTCGTCTCTCTATATACTGGACTGTAGCGGAGATGACAATAAAGTTTACTTTGACTTCAGCAGCAAGCAGGCGCGCCGAGGGTTCTCGCGCTCACTTTCAATTTCGAAAAGACATCGGTGCAAATTATAAATCTGTGTCATAATGTCTGGTGTTTTCGTGTTTGTTGGTTTTTTTTTTTATTTTGTTTTATTTTGCGAGCTGGTTATTAGATGCTGCTCCAGCCGGTCAGAGAATCCCCCGCCGCCCCGCCCTCTCCTCTCTGTGCCACAAGCAGCAGGCGCACCTCGCAAACGGAGGGCGCCCTTACTCCCGCAAATGGGCGATAGTAAACCCCAGTATGCGCTGGCATGACGTCGGGGCAGAATGAGTACGGACAATTTTTATTTTATTTTTTATTTTGCCGATGCCCGTGATGCCGCCCCGGGCAACCGCCTGTGTCGCCCGTATCAACAACCGCTACTGCCTGCAGGTTTTAGATGTTTCCTTGATCCAACACAGCTGATTGAATGGCTAAATGGCCTCAACATGTCTTGAAGTTCTCAAGAAGCCTGTTAATGAACTCATCATGTGATTCAGGTGTGTTGACCCAGGGTGAGATCTGAAACCTGCAGGACACCGGCCCTCAAGGCCTGGAGTTCGACACCCCTGTTTTAGAGATATTGCGCAAATGGAAGAAAGCAGCCCTACATATTTGTTTAATATGTGCATTGAAGAACATATCCTGGTCAAAAATCACTCCAAGGTTCCTCACAGTGTTAGTGGAAGTGAAGATAATGCCATCCAGAGTAAAAATCTGGTTAGGTGCCATATTTCTAAGATATTCAGGGCCGAAAACAACAACCTCAGTCTGAAATCTTTACTACCATTTTTAATCCTTACAAATACTAATAAAAATATAAATTGTAAATGTTCTCTGTCATAGTTAACAGCCCACCCTCGAACAACAAATAATATGCAACTGTAAAGTTTGACTTGCTGAATTATGGTGTATACCTGATAAATTCACTGACAATTAAAGCAAAAAGAATTGATAAATCGTGGCTCTAATTTGTTGCTGAATCAGTGTTTGTGTTTTTAGAATGGCGTATTGAACATACTCAAATGTTTTATTGCTACATAAAATGATTGTGGTTCACACAAACATGCATTCTTTTCCTCCCTGCTGTATTCATTTTAAATTATGCAAAACACAAAAAGGGACAGCATGAAAACATTTGTAGGGCCACATAAAATATCTGCAGTTTGTGATGTGATAATAAAATGAAAACAAATGATTTTCATTCCAGATTCAAAGTACTAAAGACAATGAGATCCCCTGGTTCGTCTGAACATCCAGCCTTTTTATGGGAATCGGGATGCAGAGTGATAAAATTGAGTTTATTTAAATATTATTTTGTAAATAGTTAATCATGTTTATATTGTGGAAGTCTAAGAGATGTGAGATTCTCTGAGTTTGCCATCTATGATTAAGAAAGAAGTTATATTAAGTATGCTGTGATTGGTAAACGCACAACATTCATGTGTAATTAATACATGATTATGCATGAAGTGTATGAAGGAAAGTACAGTGGAACCCCGGCTTACGAAGACCCCATTTAATGAAAAATTCAAGTTACGAAGGCACTTAACGGCAATATTTCCTCATCTTTCTGAAGCACTTTGCAAACCACACCAAGGTAAGCCATGATAAAAGTAATGGAATTGCGATGCTGGTGAACAACTACATTTTTTCAGCTTCATTGTTATGTTCAAAATTGGTGCAAGAGTTGTAGGTTATAATGCCCACTGAGCCAATGAGGCCAAACTCAAGAAAGACCAACCAAAATTAATGAAATATTCAGTTGCAGAAAATTCCATAATTTGACTTTTTTGGGGGGTTGGAATATGTTCAAAAGCTAGATTTCTGCATTCTGTCACACACACACACAGCTACATGAATGGCTCTAAGTGCATTCATGTGTTGAATAAACAAAGATTACATGTTAATGTTTTGTTAATACCCTTATTTCATTGTGTTACATTTCACCCCAGGATATGTTACAACTAACCCAGACTATGGGGTTAATTGTAACATTTCACTCTTTGTGTATGAGACCATACCATGCAATGGGTAATTGTGCTGCAGAGAAAATATCTGCACTATTTAATAGCAGAGACATGTAAATACTTTGCATTACATTTTGAATCCACTACCTTAAACGAGCTCCAATTTACAGACAGAAATGTCAAAAATGTTACAACTATCCCCGGTCTCCCCTACATGTACACGTATGTATGTATGCATGCATATGTATGCTTTCTTCAACCTCCGCCACCTCCTCCTCCACCAAGAACTTCGTCTTCAGCCAGCATCGCCTCACTCAAAAGGCAATGGAAAAAGGTGCTTCGACTTACGAAAATTTTGACTCATGAAAGACCCTCTGGAACAAATTAATTTCGTAAGTCGGGGTTCCACTGTATATTGTACACGTGATAGAGCTAAAAAGAAGAACATATTCATGTGTGAAACAGCTATATCATATAAATGCACAATAAAGTACTTTATATGGATGAGAAAACATAACCACTATAATGAATAACTGACCCTTTTCCCAAATTTATCAGTGTGAAACATCACAGAGAGGGAGAGAAACAACAGGATGGGGTTCACAGAGCAAACCACATTTGGTAAGAGGAAGGGGGAAGGAGGGTGTCATGCATATGTGCAAATGGGCTTTAAAAGTAGGAGCATTCAGGATTCTTCCTCTAGTTTCCATCATGATCAGCCAGCCTTGGGAGTTCAAAGTTGGAAATTAAAGGGATTAGGTGCTACCGAACACAATGAATTTACAAATTATAATTTTTGTTTCTTTCTCTCGTGCAATGTTGGATTATAATTTCAAAGTATTTGGAGAACACTAACTCCTCCTAAACATCAGCAAGATTAAGGAGCTGATCGTGGACTTCACTACAAAGCAGGCGAGGAATTACAAACCCCTCATCATCAGTGGCACGCCAGTGGAGAGAGTGGACAGTTTCCGATACCTGGGTGTCCACATCACTCAGGACCTGTCATGGTCCTGCCACATCAACACCCTGGTTAAGAAAGCCCGTCAGCGTCTCTTCTTCCTCAGAAGACTTAGAGACTTCCATCTGCCACTGAAGGTGCTCAAGAACTTCTACTCCTGCACCATCGAGAGCGTCCTGACGGCAAACATCTGCACCTGGTTTGGGAACAGCACCAAGCAGGACAGGTGAGATCTGCAAAGAGTGGTGCGCTCAGCCGAACGCATTATTCAATCAGAGCTCCCTGACCTGCTGTCCATCTACACCAAGCGGTGCAAGTCCAAAGCTAGGAAGATTATGATAGACCTCTCCCATCCCAACAATGGACTCTTCTCACTGTTGAGGTCTGGGAAGCGTTTCAGTAGTGTGTGTGAGAGCGTTTCAGTTGTGTGTGTGAGAGCTAAAATTTCAGTAGTGTGTGTGAGAGCGTTTCAGTTGTGTGTGTGAGAGCGTTTCAGTAATAATGTCCCTTACGGCACCTCATACATGTCACACAACCTTAGATACACTGTTAGACATTTTATTGTATTTTTACATTAACTTACTGGCAACACTATTGCCAGTAAGTTACTGTAATTACTGATCTACAGTATCTTTACTGTTGTGATGTTTTACAGTTCAACCACTTTACTGTAAACATATATTACAGTATAACAGCTTTACTGTAAACGTGGTTTACAGTTAGAAAGACTTACCGTGATTAAGTTTTATAGTATCACTGTACTGCAAATGTGGTTTATGGTATAACACTGTAAATGTGTACAGTATAATTTGTTTAGACTGTAATTGTGTTTTACAGCATATAAAATAATATTAACATTCATATTCAATATAAGAACATTTACAAAAAACAATATAATTCAATAAAGTAGTCTCAGAATAGTGAATTAAACCAACATTTATTGTTGATATTTTTTTTTAACAAGAAAAACATTTTTCAACTGAATAAAAACAATGCCAATAACCAAAATAAATAGAAGCGTACATGAAAACTACACAGTCCTTCACCTTTCTGTCTGATTTTTTTTAAGGAAAACAGTTTTTCATTCCACTAAAAACAGGACAAACCCACCAGCATGAACATTAAATAAACTATTACAATTATAAAACAAAACTCATTTACAAAATGTAATAATTATCAGTGGGTCCCAGGAAATAGAATGTGACATGGGATTTAGATTTCCGTTACCAGGATGGTCGGGTTCAGCGTAGTCTTCATCACCACCTGTCAAAGACACATCATCAATATTCATGTTTGCTCAGGTTATTCACTTGTTCACATCTGTCTGAGATCATTCATACTGTTGTATGGATGTGTGTACAGTATGTATATAATTATCAGCTATGTAAAAGATATTATCATCTCTGTTCTTACCTAGTTGGAAGTCCTCCATTCAAACTCAGAGAGCCGCTGGAGGAAGGTGGTGATCCGAGGGCTGATGCTTGTAACCTTCCTCTTTACGACACGACCTGTCTTGCGGCTTGTACCAAGTTTTGCAGGGCATTTTGTTCCCATGTCTGGATTGATCCTCACAAAGAACCTTTTAACGGAAAAAAGGCTGCTTTAATTTCAAAATTAAAACATACGTTACAGCAATCACCTATATGTTTCTGCAACTGTAGTCAAGCTATCACATATATTTCATTCTTAAATGGTGTAAAGTATTTACCTCTGTATTATCTCCAGTGTGATGGACGCTGACTCCTGATACTCAAGGTTGAAAACGTAGTATGACGCAAAGAAGACAGCAAGGGTGCTGGCAAAGTCATGCATCTGCTCAGGCTCATAAAATACCTTGCCCTCCAAACTGATCATCCAGCGGCTTGCAGACATGAAATTATTCCCTAAAAACAGACAAGAGTCCAATAAGACAATGTGCTCACCCTTACAAATAAGGTTTCCAAAAGAATGCTGGATAGCAGGCCTCACACTGTACAAAAATAGAATCCACACGGTTTGCTGCTATTTCTCTTATTATTTATTATCTAATGAAAATTATGATCAATTACAGGAAAAAACTGCCTTATGTCTTTGCATTTTGGCCTGTGCTGAAGTGTTAGGCTGTTTTTTCCTGTTGGTCATTGTGTATAATAAATAATAAGAGAAACAGCAGCAAACTGTGTGTATTCTATTTTTATACAATATAAAACAGACAAACCCCTGTTAAGTAAGTTGTTGTGGGTACAAATACCACAATAATTACATAGATTTTTTACAAAAATATTACAAGAGGATTGAAACTATTTACTTACCAAGCGCTATTACCCTTGGTGTGATGGGTAAGGTCATCTCTCTCTCAACAGACATCTTGGTGGAAAAAGCCTTTAAAACACAAAACGAACTGATTTGAATGATGATACCCAAAATCATTGAAATATTTTTCCTTTGTTTATGTTGACAGTATTGATAGTGCATGTGTAAAATTTTAAATATAATTACGTCAGCCAAGATGAAGATTGAGTCCTCTTTTTCTTGGAAGTACTTCATCAGAAGGAGGATGGCTGCTGTGGCGATCTGGTTGTGGTTCAGCTTTGCACTGTCGCACTCACGTAGCAGATGTTCAATCTCCTTGTTCCACTGAAGTCTCTGGCTTTGAAAGAAGTTCAAAATTCTCCTTCCTTTTGTAAGAAGGGCTTCACTGAGACGTGTCTCTACCTCAATATCTGTGAGTGTGTGGAAGTGAGTGCAGAGGCCTCTTTTAGTAAAAAGAAATGGCCAATGCTCTTGAACCTCACATAAGGTGGGGGCAGGCCAAGAATTAAGCATGTGCCTCTGGTAAATATAAGTCAAAGACATATAAGTATTTACATCTGTTGTTTCAATTGCTTGAGGACCTGCTGATCTGAAGACAGTTGACATAGTCTGTCTTTTTGTCTCCAAAGTTTCACTCGTTTCTCCTTCTGGTAGGGTTGTGGGTTGCCAGTTGATGCAACCATAGCTATCAAGTTCAGATCTCCCCCTTTTGATGGCAACATCACCCTCATTGTTTTCCCTGGTAGACCTTTTCCTTGGCTGCCGGATTCTGCTGCTGACATTGTCTCTATTTACATGTTCAACTCTTGTTTTAAGCTGTTTGAGTAGGGAATAATAACCACAGCCTAATTGCTCACCTTCTGCAGTCTTATCTGCAAAGGTAGCGGGATACTTAGATACAATAGCTCTAGCTACCTCCCCACAAGCAGCTCTGTTAGGGTTGGGGCAGTGTACTCGCATTCCTTCTACAACAGTCCTAATCATTATTCTCCTGTCTTCTGGGTGAGCCATTCCACCAGTTGCCAAGGCCTGTGAAAGTCTTGTTGGCATCTTCTCCCAGGGAACTGAAAAATTGCTGATCCAGGAGGTGTTGCTTACATTTGGTTGTGTGGAAGGGAGTTGACCTGATGCTTGTGCAGAACAGAGTGAATTACCCTGTAGTGGCATTTGCACAGTTGTTGAGCAGGTGGTTTCAGGTTCCTTTGGGTTGTTTGAAGAGCCAGACTCCACTTGGTCGTCGATATTCACACACACACATAAACACAGCAGAACAATTCCACATTAACTATGTACAGATGGGTTTTTTGGAGTATTTATTGAGTAATACTCTTATATAAGACACAAAAGCAAGAGTGTTGGAGAAATAATACCAATGGCAATGAAAGCTAGTTTTAGTTTTGAAAGCTATAACAATTTCAAAATAACTCTCAAAATAACTAATTTACAACTATTTTCAAGATAGGACTGCAACCATTTATGACATTAATGCATTCTCACCTTTTCTGAATACTTGAACAAGTCTTCGACTTTGAATTGGTGTCAAGAAAGGCTTGATATCATCAGGCTCAACAAACAGGAGATCTTCTCTGTTTCTAACACCAATAATGTCTGTCAGGTGCTCAATAACTGCCCTCTTTGTCTCTTCATGCAGGTCAGGTAATGCCAGGTTAATTTCATGATGTAGGCTGCCACTGTCCATATCTGCAATGAATTAAGAGGATGATATTGAATGATGCAAAGATACAACGGTTAAACCTGAAGCGATATACACTGGCAGAGGGTAGTAATCAAACAAACTGTCTGCTTGAACACATATGAATCTTTTTTCAGAATTGTGTAGACAGTGAAGTCCAAGGTTGATCAGTATCACAGATTGAAGGATGTCCAAAACAAAGTGTACTTGTTTGTGACTGATGAGGATCACTGAGATTTTTCCAAAGATGTGGCCACATTCATCATGACCCATAGCAACAACAAGCCCTTTGCAATATTTTGTTCCTTTGTAAACTACTGCTGATACCTCTGACGTTGTTTCTTTCATCAAGCCAGCTGTCCTGACAGACTCCTGAATTAGACCATTGTACAACTGCTCATCATATTCACTAGTTTCACCAACTGCTTGAACTGCTGGAGCAAACAATGGTCCACTGCTGAGGTACGCCTGAAGCAGCTGGTGCCTTTCTGCCAGTGTTTTACAAAGGTGAACAAAGTTGTGCAGTTTCCGGGCGCATTCCTTGAAATACGAATGCTTACTCTCGAACCGGAGAGTCCACAAGCGAATAAGAGGCCCAAAGTGCAAAAAGAGGTCACTATAGTGCAGTAAATAGTGATGCTTGGGCTTGAGTGGGTGATTAGGGAAAATTGTGTGTCTTGAATGAACATACTCCTCTGTTATTATCTTAAGGTATGCAATCTGGTCATGATGGATCTTGGGAGCACATATGAGCTCAACCATTTCCTTGAGCTGTAGATACAGTTGCCAGACCTGACTGTCCTCAGGATTTTTTATCCTGTCACCAACCAACAATGGCAACAGTCGCAACAGACACCAGTTCTGTGCTGCAGAACCAGAAAGTTTTTTGCCACACTCCTTAACCTCACATGGTTTACTGAGACTATCATTCCCTGAGTATTTAAACTGTGTGATCGACCTGTTTCAAAACAGTTTCCCATTCATTCTTTATGGTAGTGCTAAATCGCTACAGATGTAATATATTTTTGTCCACTATGGTTTTCCGGTGTTGTTTTGAGTCACTTTCCACTTCCAGAGATGAAATCAGATCTCAGAGCTCTGTGTTCATTAATCACAGGTAAGAAAAGGGTTATTTGAAATAAGAGTAAACCTACAGAATGAATATGCAGCTGTGCTTTAAAGGTTTATCGGATTCATGACAGTTAACGTCCACCGTTTGGTTAAACAGTTGTGTCAGCTGTGCTGAAGTGATTAGCTAAATAATGAATGAACAGGAGGTTTCATTTATTTGTGTGTGCCGCTGTCATGTTGTAATGGTAAATATTCTGACAGTGTTGTGTTCATGTCTTACGAACATTAAAAACACTCACTGACAGAAATAGACCTGCTGTTTTTATTTCTTTTTTTAAATGTATGTGTGTGGTTTTCATGTTGTAAGAACTCTTGTCAATGAGCTTCTGACAGTCTGTCCTGTATGGGTTATGGATGATGATGATGTGCTGTGATAATACAGCTGCTGGCTTTATGCTGAGCTTTGACACTAGGCTGTTGTTACAAATACAGAATCAGTCATGAATGATTTTTATTCACAGACAGAAAAAAATACATCTTCATCACAGCTCTGATAGTGCTAGAGTTAGCTTTCACTGAGTCAGCTGAACACAGTCTTAAAACAAATGTATTTGTTCCTGTCATTAATCTTTAAATCACTTCAGCTAATCCTTGGCCTGCTTCTTTTTCTGTAAACCCAACTACACTGTGCAACAGTATTTTCAAAGATTTATTTCAATCGCTTAGTTCTTTTTAAGTTTCCTTAATTTTTCTGTATTTGCGTCAAAACATTTTTTTCTTTTTCATTGTATGTCATACCCAGAGACCACTCTGATCCCTCCTGTTGAAGCTGGAAGTTGAATTAAAGACATGTCTGCACCTTTGAGGGAGGACCCTGTGCCGCAGAATGCTCTGACTGTGAGCCTTATGACTGGAGGGGGACTCCTCAGAGATGAAGGTGGTGCAGGGAGAGTTTGGGAAGTTAAAGGATAATCTTTCCTGTGTCTTCTGGAGAATGATGTCATTTAGTATGTTGTATGTACTGGTACTTATATAAAACCTTTCTACTCTACTTCAGTTCGCAGAGCAATTAATACACCATGCCTCATTAATACAGACATAAATGAATGAATAAAAAAAAAAAAAAAAAAAAATATATATATATATATATATATATATATATATATATATATAAAATGTATTATTATAAATAATAATAATAGTAATAGTATACATATAATAACATATATATGTTATTGTCTTATGTGTATGATTTCCTTTGACCAGAATGGTCTTACAAAAAGAGATTTGGTCCTCTGTATAAATAACGCTTAATTATCCCTAAAGTAAAAGGTCTTACTTAAATGTTTATATACTCACTTTATAAAAGCACCAAGCTGTTCTTTGTCGTTTATATGGTGCTTGACTTTGTTCATTATGACTTTCATGTCAGAGAGTATTCTAGCTTCTGTCAGAGTGAAAGTGTTTAGCAGGAATTAGGAACCATTATAACAAAATGAGCAAAATGAACAAACTGATATACAAAATGAGCAATGTATCGCATTCTTACTGACCACTTACCAAATGTAAAATGTATGGCAATAAGTTTATTGTTCAAGTTAAGTTTGATTTGAAATTACATTTTTTTTTCATTTTATTTTAATACATCTCTGTCATGGGTCAAAAATGCTATGAGGTGCCATAAAGAATATTATTACTGAAACACTCTCCACTGAAAACCAAGCCATTTCAGATGAACAGGAAGTTATTTCCTGACAAGGAAAAAGTGGTACATTTCAAACCGCTACACAGATGTCTACTCAATAACCTGCTAGTAGCCTAAGTGAAGCAGCCGCATTACTCTGTCAAATGCAACAGCCGTGGGCAGTCGGTTGTAAGACTACGGTCAAGTGAGTCCTCACTAATATTTCAAACTAAACAGGTTTTCTAGATCAAATCCACCACCTCTCATACTTTGAATAAATTAAAAATACACACAAAATGGGCCTATCACATCAATGATCGACCTGCTCATTACTATGTCCACCTTGTTACTGTGGAAAACGAGGAAGACGCTTTTTGCTTAAATTAGCCATTATCACTTATGTCAGGGGTTCTTACATTTTGTTTTTTTTGTTTTGTTTTTATCTCAGGGCCTGACGTTTTCACTACAAAGTGGACCAGGGCCCATTCACATATTAACACTGTATTGAATAAATTAATTTTGCTTTTGGTTTGATTTATATTTAATAAATAAATCAATTCCACCTGATCTTAAAAGCTAAAACCTTGCCAAATAAACATGATGATGACGACATTATACAATGTAATAAGACATTTATTTATTACATGTATGTGAACCTGGAAATAAAACAAAATGCCAAACAGGTCAACAATTCATGAAACAAATCAAACTGCAAGTAGAAATTGAAAGGCTCAAGTCAAGGTTAATAACACAAAAATAATTAATAATTCAATTTTACTACAACGAAAGAGAAAAAAGGGACTGATCTAGTTGTAAAGAGACAAAAATAGTATTTTTATTCTTTCTAGAAGCTGATGCTGTATGTCTAAGGTCATGTCCATGATACGGTGGCTCGCAGTGTCGTTTGAGTGTTCTTTGCAGCAGCCCCTCCGATGATCTCATGGCACATATATACAGTGGCAGGCCAAATCAATTCAGTGCTTCAATGTATAGCATTACTCCACACATTGGGCTCTCGGGTCCGCCTCATTTCCTCTGTTCACAAACCGCATGCTTCAGGAAGTCAAAGCTGTACTTGCACAAACATTTTGACTTTTGGGAGGGGGTTGTCACCTTTATCTTCCTTTTTGCATTTTAAGAACTTCTCCATATATTTTGCTAACTGCAAACAGCAGGCAGACTGTCTTCTTCTTCTTGCTTTTTGAGGCTGTTTAAACAACTCCCACCAAATGGTGTGAAGCTGTATTGAGACTGAGATTGTCATGGACAGGGAACAATAACCAAAAGTATTTTGCGGCTCTTAAGGTGTGGCTCGCAGCCCCATGGTTAAGAATCACTGACTTATGTGATGCTGTTTATACTGTAAGTAACCATAAGAGGGTGGGCATGCTATGCTTTAACACATCTGTGAATCATTCAGAAAAATGGAAGAAAAGGTTGATGACAGACTGATATTTATTCTGGTTTTAATTTTTTAGATTTCCTTAAAAAAAACAAAAGAAAACAAACAACAACAAAAAAAAAGAATTCACATTCAGGATATTCATAAGGATTTCTGTGGGAGTAATGGGGGTAAAGACAATTCAGGGACTTACTTCAAAGACTTTAAGCATTAGAAAATTAGAATTAAAAGGACATCTCGCTATAATATTATGAGTAAGGCTATAATGAAGAGGAACAAAAATGCACAAAAATGATGGCATTTTAGGATAATTGTGCTAAAAAAAAAAGGAGAGAAAAAAATTTCCCGAAACATATAATTTATTTCTAAGGTAAATTGGGATTAACAATGTAAGACAAGCTTTTAGAAATAATGTGATAGTGTATTTTTATACATAATACACTCAGTTCTTTTGTGGGGACTCAAATGACACAGAGTACTAGACCTGCAACAACAATGGCTGTTAGATGAGACAGAGGTGCATGTTAGACAAACTTAACTTCTGTCAACAGCGCAAAATATCAAAAAAGAGTCAGCTGATACTACTGCCAAAACAATCTTCATAATTAATTTTTTTGTGAAGAATAAAGAAAGGTGACAGGTGAGAAAGGTTGTTGGGACCAAGAAACTTACAATTAAAGAGAATAACAGGAATTATGAATGGGTGCTTGGAAAAAACCCCAGAAACTTTAAGTTTTACAAATAAATTTATGACTAGTTGTGTTTTTCATACACAAATCCATCTAATCCCAATTCAGATATTGTTTTTAAGAAAAACACCCTCTGCTGTGGCTCTAATGTATGAAAACCTGTCAAAAACACATATTTGAGTGTGAAAGGTTGAGATGAAAAACTACTTTGAATCTCATAATCAGACAGTTAATTCCATAATGAAAAGAACTACTAAAATTAAACATTTATTGGAGGAAAAGATGGACACAATGTAGAGGGATAAAACTAGTCCTGTAGCTGCATGGAGATAGAGCTACTTACCCTAACTGACCAATCAACGTTTACAAGATAAATTTTAGGAGTCATTAATACTAAAAATCTTGGAACAATGGTCTGGATGACTTGTTACCTTTAAATATTTGTAGGTAAATATAATCACAATTTTAATTGTAATTTTAGATAAAATACATTGATGTTCCATTTAATTACACCTTAGTTGTGGGCTGTATTATAAAGTGTTACCATTTTTTATCTAGTGTGTTAAGTACACTGATTTTATATGTACTGAAATGTGCTATATCATTGCATTGTCATCTGAATGAACCATAACTAAACTCATAAAATAAAACGATTAAAATAGATTTGAAATATATGTAGAGTGATGTGATGTGAATCTCTTTCAGTTTTCCGCAAACTTCTTTGTCAGCCTCAATATTTAAAACATTAAAAGATAAATATGTCTTACAGAAATAAAAGTCCACAATCACTTATAATGACATTCACAAAATCAAAGTCAAATGTCACCAAACAACTTTTAAAGGGACCAAATAAAAACAACTGAAAATGATTGAGACCAAATCGGATGGTTTTTTGTTTTAAACAGCACTTCCTCTGGTAAGACCTGTTTGTGTCCAGGTTTCTGCAGTTTCTACCTGGTCAGCAAATCTGAAACATCCAAAAAAAGGTTTAACAATGAGCAATAAGGACCAAAATATATATATTTTTTTTTAAATGTAAAATATTCTATGTAATACTGATGATGACGTATAAGAATTTACCCAGTTAGTGATGTTTCATCATCTGGAGTGCCTACAAGTTTATCATAATGTTTCTTCACCATCTCAAGCTCTGTTGAAACATCTGAAAAACAAAACATTTTTTGAATTGTTTCCTCCCCAAGAGTGACTCACGTAATAGTGTGTGTGACTGTAAATTATAAGTTAATTTTAAAAATAGAGAGACAAATAGGTAAATACACTGTGCTATCAGGTTTCAAAGATAAAGAGAAAAGGAAGGAAGCTTTATCAAATGTAAATACAGCAAATTGTCCTGTTTACCTGGGAGTAAGCCCCCATCAGTCTTGAATGAACGTTCAATGGATTCCTTCATAGTTTCCTCCAGAGTCTTCAGGATTTTTTCCTATTTTAAAAATGGTTATTACTTATCACAGATCAAAATATTGTGTTAAGTCAAATACAATTACATTTAGAAGGTTCTCAGATACTGCATAAAAACATAAATGGAAACATATTTTTGTGTAAGTCTATTCCAGTTAAATATGGAAAAAGCCTTCATATGTTCATCCCATTTTTTCATAAAACATGACAAACCATCAAAGTGTGCAATTTCTCCAACATGGTATTTTTTGCCCTCTCAAACATGTCCTCCTTTGAGTGCACGTGGTCCGTAATAGTCTCCCTCATGTTGTACAGCGTGTCTTTTCCACTAAATTCTGCAGCCTCTACAATAAGACAGAAAGCTCCAATCAGATTTCTCTTTCTGAATAATGATAAATATAAATATGTGTTTTTGTGAATCTCTGATCTTATTTCTTACTCTTGTAGCCTTCATCCATAATGTCTTCAATTGTCTCTGTCAGACTGCTGTAGACTCTTTTCTTCTGTTTCCGCATCGTTCTGTTCAGTTTTGCCTTAATTTTTTCTTCCTTAGAGAACAAACATGAAATATGGATGAACATCACTTGAAATCACATCAAGCCATAAAACTAAGGTTAATTTTTCATGTTTTCCATTTACTGTCCATTATGTCAGTAAAGTTTCATCTCTTACCTCTGTCTTGAGAAATCTGAGCTGCAGTTCAGCATTTTTGTACTTTTCAAACAGAGAATCAGTGTTAAGTGAAAATGTATCGATGACTCCATTGAATGCTCCACGTTCTGAGTCATTTCTAAAACATATAAACATTGTGGTTATTAATGGCAGAATTGGCAAGTTTATATGTTATGATTACATATCTTGGATAATATTATGTGACTGTTTAGAACTTGTCTTTTCTTACGGGAAGGTCTTTCTGAATTCATCATCAATGCTGTCAATCAGACAGGAAGCCAACTTCATATTAAGGTTAATTAGGGTCCCTTTCTTTGGTTTGTAGACGCCACCATTCTTAACAACACACTTCAGTACCTTGTGAAAAGCACCACCCTTCTTTCCCTAAAACAGAAAAGAAAAGAAGAAGTATTTAAACACATATTCATGTAAAATATGTTGTTTTGTTGTAACTATATTTAAAATACATACACGATACAAGAAGTTCTTGAGTTTTTCTCCATATGATCCTTTGGATTTCTCAACGCCATCATCAAGATATTTTTCAAAAGCCGTATAGGTGTCTTCCATTTCTTTGTTGACATTACGAAGTTGGATGTTCGTGTTTTTCTCAAGTTCTGCACACACCTCGGGTTTTTTATCATCCTGAAAATTTTTGAAGGAATAAAGTCAGAAAAACAACTTGTTGTTTCGTATATATTTATGAAATCAATTGATTTTAAAAGTCACTGTCCTGTAATAAGAACCTGAGAAGTAAAATAGAACAGCAAAAATAAATGAATCAATTAATAAATCATAAATTAATAGATTATAAAAACAAGATACTCGAAAAAATTTGGAAATCTCAACATGTAAGAGAATGTGTATCTTTTAATGCTGGGCATACACTCTGCGATTTATGGTCCATTTTGAGACGATTTTTCAGTCGTGCGACCGTTTTCGGGATTGGTCCAAGTTTTCCCCTAATCGTGTGTCATGCATCGTGTAGTATACGTGGGGTAACAAGAAGCGATTAATACCTCACGATCAGTTCCCGATCTCGTAAGAAAATCAAACCTGTTTGAAATCCTGTCGCTCGTTGCGAGGGTGTCAACGCAGCCTCTCACACTGCGCACACAGCTCCATCTTTCAGAAGTGAAAAGGTGGAGCAGCAGCACGGCAGTGGAGCGTGTGATCTGGACATAAGCGATGGAGGCACAACTTGTAGAACGTTGGCAAGCTCATCCGAGCCTTTTCGATGTGGCCTCACAAAATTATCACGACCACAACAACCGTGAAAATAGTTGGATGGATATTGCTGCTCATTTGCAGCTGCGTTTTTCATTAGCAATTTAGTAATGTTGATGGTGGTGGTGTGTGTGTCTGTGTGAGTAAAAGACAGAGAGGGAGAGATAGATTTTGTGTTATGTGTTATGGACGCACAGTGTGAGCACATCAGGCCATATAGTGTGAGACCCTGCACCGTGACCTACGAACTTCTCACCCCTGCGATTCAATCGTACAGTTTGCGCAGAAGCTGAATAACGCGACTGAAAAAAATCGCAGTGTATTCCCAGCATTAGTTGACCTTACCACTCCTCCGGAGTTGGCTCCGTGAATCAGAGACAGAATCCCGTGAGCTCCATTCACATAGTTTACTGTCTCTGAGTGACAGTCATTGAGATCTTGCAAAAATCCCTGAAGTTGAGGTATTTCTGTTGAGAAGAAATTTCAGTGCCAGTTTGACATTACTTAAATTCAAATTAAATAATTCTTCTTTCAGTCAGAGCAAACTAAAACAACATGTGCATTTCAGCTGTTTATATTCTGTTAGCAAAACGGAGACTTCACTCACCAGTTTCATCTGGATTTAGATGCTTCCCTTTTAGGAACTCTTTGGAGCTCACTGTGAACACTTTGAAACTGTCATCAGTGAAGTGTTTCTGCGGAAAAATGATTTAATTTTAAAGCATCTTTGCAACTGTGGAGAGTCTGTATTATTTTCTGTAAGCCTATAAAACTCACCTTAATCTTGGTTCGCTTGTTGAATGCTTCCCTTACTCCATCCTTGGCATGAATGTTTCTTTTAACTATTCGATCATGGACATCAGCTGATGAACTACAACAAATATGCATATATGTACTGTTACCATCATCACTATTATTATCACCATCATTAATCTGGGGCAGGCTGGGTGGTTTTGATTTACTCTTGGGCTACGTCCCCACGTACAAAGGTGTTTTTTCATTTTTTAAAAATCGCATCGACGTGTGCACTTTTTAAAAAATATCTCTGTTCACATGTAAACGCAAAAACAAAGTCAAACGCTGTCAAGAACATGCCAAATCCTAACTTACTAGAATTATGCCCTCTTTTCTTTTCAAGTGCCTTCATTATTTCAAATGTTAATAACTAAACTGTATTTTGGATTTTATCTCACTAGCTCTTTTGGCCAGAGTTTATTCAATAAAGAAAAAAACTGACAATTTTACATTTGTCTTAGTGATTTATAATCATGAGTCACAGCTCTCTGAAATACGGCTGGTGTAGACTCACAACTAAGAATGGACAAAATGCATGCATACATATATTTAATTTAAAAAAATTAAATTTATTAAAAAATGAAAAAGGCATTGGTGTTAGGACTTGGGTTGTGACAGCGTCTGTGTATTTTACTCTGACACCTCTGTCTTTCTAAGTAGAAGGGCAGTAACTGCATGTGTACATGTAAGCGTGTAAAAAAATGCAGATAGTATTTTGTTTCTGTCTCCCATTTTGAAAATTCATCAAATGTAAACAATCACGTGGCGCACAGCGTGGCGTCATGTTTGATGTTGCGTGACTAACTCCTCGTATTCCTCGTCCACGGGTAAATGCAAAAACTGTTTTCGAAAATCTCCACGCTGGCAGGAGTTTATAAAAATCTCAGTTTTCAGTGATCCAAAACGCCATTTACGTGTGGATGAAAAGCCCAAACCGATAGAAAAAGCTATGTTTTCAAAAATACCAGTGTAGCTGTGGACGTAGCCTTGGCCTTTAGGCGGAAATGTGGGAGGCTCCCTTTCTGACCAAGCTGAGCTTTCCCTGACTGTCGCACACATATAACTCATTGTCATCGCCTAGATTGTATTTAAAGACTGCCTGTGGCACTGCATCTCTACCACCTACGGTGGTGTTCTCCACTAATTCACCAGTTCATATTAGTTTATTCAGTTTATATTTTTCTTTCATTGTAAATAAACCTATTAAACGTCACATCAGTTGTGCATACATAAAAGCTGCAATGATGCCAGTTGCAACTCTTTCTCCTCCTGCTCTCCTGTTATTGCTCACCAAGAGAGCTTGCTGTCCCTCTACAACTAAAAAAAATCTACTACCTTTGCCACTCTCCACTATTCCACTCCCTCTCTCTTTATTACTCAGTCCACCATATTCAATAAACTTTATAAAATTGTATCTGCATCTCAGACTCCCTTTGACCCAAATGTTCTGTATTATTAAAAAAAAAAAGGGCTAAACTCTGTGTTTCATTCTAGCCTGGGTTTATCTTACATGGAAACACCGTGTAGTTGATCAGCATTCAAAATGTACTTACAGATCATCTGAATCATCAAGAAGATCAGACTTGGTGCAGATAAAGTGAATTTGCTGACATTCGCCACCATTTCCAATCAGACTACTGACACTTTCCAGGATCTCCCAGGCCTCTTTCTCTGATGCTGCTCGGTTAATTTCAGTCACAATCCACACAGTAGAACACTCTCCAACTATCTGAAAGGAGAATAACATGTCTCAGTGCTTCATTGAAAGATGACTGTTTACAGAAAACACAGTATAAGCAAAGAGCAGTAAATGTGAATTACCCCTTTCCACATCTGATCTCTGCTCTTGTTACAGTCGCCATTTCCAGGAAGGTCCACAAGTGTGACATGCTGGAGAAAAGGATTGTTTGGCACCCTGACAGTCACACACTTCACTAGTGGCCAAAACCACTTTTTTCCTTCATTGCCTTCTCCTTGTTTTGACTCACTTCTTGTGTACTTGACAAATTGTGCAGAAAGTTCATTAGCCTGCAATAAATAATGAAAGTAAAGCAGTGCAGTTTAATTTCAGTCCTCACAGAAAGTGCTTCATAGAATTCATTAAAAAGTCAGTGACATAAAAAAGGTTAAGTAATTAGTGTTCAGTTTTAGATTTAAATGATCAGATTGTGTCATGTACAAGCTTCCCTTTGTGTTATATTGGACCAAGAAAAACATCAATCAAATCCAAAATGAAAATAGATTTTTATGATTTATTTGATTTTTTATTCTCTATTTAAATCGTGCTATGAACACTCTTGTTCTCAACAGCCAGTATTACTATTAGCAGAAACTACTTCATGTCGGCATTTTGCACAGTTGTCCACTTTAACTGACTGTCAGACACTGATTTACTTTGTGGCCACTTTGATTCAGTCTTTGCTGAATTTGCTCAGCAGTGAATTTCTACGGTGCGATTTAAAGTGTAAGAGTAGGTTAAAATAGGGAACTGATCACTGTTGTGTGATAAGGGAAAAGGTTCTTACTGCGATTATTTAAAATAAAAACAATCATGCTCTACATCACGGACCTGGACCAAACTTGGGTCTTGTTAACCAGTTATTACAAGAACAGATTTATTTTTTCTGGCAATGTGATCATCTAAAGATCATTGTGGGATCTCAGTAAGATCTGTTTTGTTTTGATCACTGGATCTGTTTTCAGTGTTTTGTTTTTTGGACTTTTGAATCTATGCTGCATGCTATTTTCAGAAGTGAGATATGTTTTTAGTTCTTAGGCTACGTTCACACTGCAGGTGTTAATGCTCAATTCCGATTTTTTGATCAAATCCAATTTTTTTGTCTGCGTGTTCACACTACAAATAAAATGCGACAGCAAACGCGCTCTAGTGTGAAGGCTTAAAGCGGCCCGCATGCGCAAAAGAAGACTTCACACACAGCGCGCTCTTTAGACCCAGAGCAAACAGTATTGTTTGACAGATGGCCGTTAATATAAAGACTTCGGACTTTACGTTTCCCAATTTTTGCTTTAAGTTATTTTGTTATTTACATAATAATGTAAATAACCTAATAAATATCCTTATTGCTGTTTTAGAGGCGCGGTGCTTCAAAGGATAGTTGCAGATTTCTGTCAGAATCTGCAGATTATACAGTACAAATAAAATGTTCACGTTTCTCCAACGTTGTCTTCCCAACAGTTTCACTGACATCTACGCTGGATGGCCAGGAAGCGACCGCGATGTCTTCTCGGGCGCTTCTCTGGCGCTGATAATTGGCGTCTGTCTTGTGTCGGTGACGTAAAAGACGGATTTAATGCGACCTGACCGTTCAAACATCGGATATGTATCGGATTCAGTACCACATACGAAAGTGACCCAGATCGGATTTGAAAATATCGGATTTGCACCGTTCACACTGTCACACCATGATCGGATATGGGTCGCATAGTGTCAAAAAAATTGGATTTGATGCGCTTTCGCCTGCAGTGTGAACGTAGCCTTAGTCTTTTGTTTATTTGGTCAGTTCCCTTTTTGTGTCCAAGATGTCCTAGTTTCACCTGTGTCCCCTTCCCAGCATCCCCTGTGTGTCCCCTGTCTGTTATAGTAGCAATATGAGTTTGTCTTACTGATTCACATCTCAATATCTTCCGCCTGGATTGGAGAAATTCTGGAATTTCTTTGAAATATTTGTTCTCCATGAGGTTTTCAGAGGACTTCTCTTTCCATTCTTCTCCATAAAGTGCTGACAGCTTTTCAACAGCATCACGATAATCATCATCCCCTTCCTTTTCCTGATTTTCATTATTGTCAAGAAGCTGATGAAATGACCACAAATCATCTTTCCACTCCTACAAAAATAGATGACAAGCAATTTATTGAGGCATGTACCCAGCCTTAAGCTCCAAGAACTGCACTATAACAAATGATTTAGTTTTAAGTACAAATCAAATTTGAGAATTCATTTTACCTCCTTTGTGATGAACTCAATTTCTGCTTCATACTTGTTGTGTGCGTTGGCTTCCACTTTGATCATGACTGAGGTGCAGGCATTGATGCTTCCTGAAGGTAAAAGATTCTTCTCTTCAATGATGGCATTTATCAAAGAGCTCTTTCCAGCCCCGGTTTTACCAAAGACACCAACCAGCTCCCTCTTGTCTGTCTCCAAATCACTGATCTTTTTCCTGATGAACAAGATTTTAAATATGGGTTAATTGATTCAGTCATGAAAACTTTTTATGCACGCTTTAAAAAAGAGAGTTTCAAAGAGAGTTATAATCATGGTAGTGATCATCAAATGAAATATCACTAAATATTTTAGTTTTATACACATACACCACTAATTGTTTACTGTATGTTGTTTTGATCAGCATCTTCCTTTTTGTGTCAGTTAAAGCTAAAATGTTTCCCCCAAGAGTTGGTAGATAACAGGAACAGCAAAAAATGTAGTTAAGTCACCAAAACCTCCTAAAAATATCAGTCTTTGTTGGTCTTAACTTTGATAGTTTTATTTTACTAATAAATCATTCTGTGATCTATAGTTGTACTGCTGTTAAGTCAAAAGTATAACGTAAAATAGCTAAACAAAGAACCAACACACCAAACAGACTGACACAAGAAACTAATTGGTGAATATGGAACCAAACTATCATCTGGCTGAGTGGTGCAACACCAACAACCTGCTGCTTAACACCGAGAAGATCAAGGAGCTCATCGTGGACTACAGGAGGAAAGCTGACCCACATCCACCCATCTACATTAAAGGGACGGCTGTGGATTATGTGAGCAGCTTCAAGCTCCTTGGAGTCCACATCTCCGAGGATCTCATCTGGACGACCAACTGCTCCAAGTTGGTCAAGAAGGCTCACCAGCGCCTCTTCTTACTGAGGACTCTGAGGAAGAACCACCTGTCCTCAGACATCCTGGTGAAATTCTACTGCTGCACCATCGAGAGCATCCTGACTAACTGTATAACAGTCTGGTATGGGAGCTTCTCTGCCTCGGACCGGAAGGCGTTGCAGAGGGTCATGAAAACCGCCCAGCGCATCGGTGAAAGACCACTTCCTGCCATACAAGACATCTACAGGAAAGTGTCTGAAAAGGGCTGGGAAAATTATCAGAGGCCCCAGTCACCCAGCACAAGGACTCTTCGACTCCTGCCCTCTGGGAGGCGCTACATGAGCCACAGGACTAAGACCATCAGGTAGTGGTAACAGCTTCTTCCCCACAACTGTCAGACTCCTGAACTCTGACCCACATTAAACTCATGGACTGAACATACACACACCTACAACCACCTATAACTGAACACACACACAATGGACAAAACAAACAAATGGCCAACTGTACCCTCATACACAAAATAATAACATGGACCGGTTCAGGTGGTGGTTCACCAACCTTACAACCACTAGCACTTTATATAACCACTGTAGAAATTACCCACATATCTCACTGATCTGAACTGCACTACTGTAAATGCTGTATAGACAATCATTCTGTACAATACAATAATTATAGTTCTACAACTGTTTATTAATACTCACAATTGTATATCTACAATCAGTATAGTTCATATTTCATATTTCTGTATAGTTTTCATATTTTTAACCATATTTAAATCCTGTTCATAGCCTGTACATAGTTTGTACACTCACTACAGCCTGTACATACTTATAGTTATAGCATATTCATAAAATACCTTCATACCGTGTACATTGTAACATACCCATAATTAGGGATGGGTACCATCTGACATAAACGGTAGTAACCAGACCGAAAAGCAGCGCACATTTCGGTGCTTTATTTCGGTGCTTTTATTCCCTGAGCTGTGATACACTTCTAGCCAATCATTTTACGTTTCCGAGGATAGTAGGCGGGTCCAGGTACGTACGTTCTTTTAGAGCAGAGCTACAGATTAAAAATGCCCAAGGCGAAGCGGTCAAAAGCCTGGCTGTACTTCACAGCAAAAGATGCAAACTCAGCAGCCTGCAACAAGTGCTTTAAGCTGATACTGTGATACTGTCAAAGGAGGTAACACCTCAAATCCGATGAAACACCTGGCGACGCATAGCGTTTTTTTTAAAAGCCCAGAAATGCACCGTATTTGATAGCTTGCTGCGAGACCTCACACCGAGCGCATCTACTGCGGGTGGGTTGCCTGTTATCGGACCCGGAGTTAGCATTTCATTTTTCTGATTTCGTATTATAGGGACGTGTTGGGTGGCCAGAAGCGTAATATACCGACGATTTGTCACATAGCATAACATGTTACGCTTTGGGAGTGAGAACGTGTTGTCTTTTCATGTTTGCCTCGGCTCTCTCCAGGTACTTTGGCTTTCTCCAACAGTCCAAAGACGTGCAATTAGTGCATTTAGGTTAATAAATCCTCATCAATGTAGTTACTCATTCCTGTGACTGTATCTTGGTGTAACCAGTGTGACATCCATAAAGTTTGTTTGGACTGAATCATTTTAATTGTTGTGATCATGTGAATATACTGCTTATTTTTGCGTGTGTCAAGACTCTTGAAAAGGGACCATCTTCTCTGTGTGACTCAATTACACATAACTAGCAGTTTTTGAGGATGTTTTACAGATATTTTCTGCATTTTTGGTTTCTTTAAAAACAACCTCTCTTTGATCTGTTTGTGAAACTGTCACATGATCAGGAGTGGAACCAGGCCCATACATTACAAAATATGAAAAAACTTAATACTCACTTTAAGAAATCACTGAGTTTGTCTTGGTCATTTAGTCTGGCATGTACAAATGTCATGATGCTTTTCACATCAGACAGTATGATTGATTCTGTGGACAAAGAAAGGAAAAAACTATTTAAAACAAATAGACTAGAATAAACAGAAAATGTAAAATCTCATGTAAAAAAACAAACAAACAAAACAAACCTGTGTGAATTAGAGTATATCAGGACCATAATGTGACCACTTACCAATCAAACTTACTATACCATACATCAAGCTGACTGTTAAATTTTGACAACAGGCCAAAGAAAAAGTAATTTCTAGCATCAAAGATGAAACTGGCATGTTGGACAAATTGTGCTGCACAGAAATTTAACCCTATAGTGTCTTAAACTGTGACACTGTTTAGAAAGAGACGTAAATACCTGCAAATCCTGGCATAGACAGACGCTGTCGCTTAGCTGGTGACTGCAACCTGCTGGCATCACTTTGAAGATCAGATTTTCTCTTTCCTGATTGTATAAAAACAACAAAAAATAAGAACAAAAAATAAGAACAAAAAATGTGTTTCTCTCACCATTGAAAGTTATTCTTAGTAAAGTTATGTAGATTGAAAGGCACCAATATTTTATGCAAACACAGAATAATATGAGATGCAATAAATACGATACATGTGTCTCACCTGTATCACTTGTGGATGGCAAGACCTGAGGATGAATATGAGTTATACAGGAAATTATTACTATTTGCATTGGCATTGCTCTTTAACAACATTTGAAGGACACTAGCATACAAGTTTTACAATCAACAAACTTAAATGCAGTTATATTTATAACTAGCAGACTGATGAAGAATACATTATAAATTACCTTATCACAGAATTGGAGACTTTGCTTCGCACCCTTAAAAATCCTATAGCTAGCCAGGCCCCTTTAGCCTGTCCAGTCAAAGGCTAGCTCCCTCTGGAAAATTGTCCCGAACAGTCGGGTAAACAAGATGACTGGGTGATGGTGAGGAGGAAGCATAGTCTTAAACAGAAGTCCCCGGTACACCACCAACCTGTTCATGCATCTAACTGTTTTTGCCCACTTGGCAAAACACTCGCCAGGAATCAAACTCTGGTAATTGGTGATTCTGTTCTGACTTCGAGGAGGGGGCCTAAGGGTACATCTTTCGCCATCTTAGAATGCTGTAATTGCAGCCATTCCCCAACTCTCTGAATGGTATTCATGGCCATTGATCAGTGGGTTTTGGTCAGTGGTTGTTGATCAATGGTCATGAGAATTTGCATAATTAACATTAAGGAACTGACCTCCCAGCCCATTGTTCCTTCACTGGACTGGTTTCAGTCATTATGCAAATGCACTGCAGTCAGCTGAAACTAAAGAGGTCACTTGGATGAGTGACGAAACGGTTCTCACACAAAACGCTACGTCCAGATGAACAGAATCAAGTTTTGGAGATTTACTTATCTGCATGATTGATGCATCAAGACAAAACGATAGAAATAGTAATTACTCAGATTACCAGTTACAGAAAAAAAGTAAAAGAGTTGCTTTTAACGCGGTTTTTCCCATCACTGATTATTACTGCCAGTGCATTTTTAAATATACAGATAAAGTCACCTCTGTTCACTAAAATAGCAATGATTGTCAAAGAACTTAATTACCTTTAACAGCTTGAGGTTCTTCTTGAATCTCATTCTTGGTCCAGCTTTTGTGATCAAATTCTCAATTTCTCGATCATCAAGCTCAAAAATATTTTCTTCATCAATTTCTTGATCTGTAATTAAAAATAAAGTTGAAGAGATAAAGATTATTCTCAACTTACTTCACAGATCACATCAGAATCAATATCTGTACCCATCAGGGATTCACGTTAATACTTTACCTTTAAATTTTTCCACCCACTCACTAAGCCCCCATTCAACCAGTTTGGTTCTTACGAAATCATCCATGACCAAGAAATGTAAGATAAACTGTAAGATAAAATGCAATATTTAACCAGACAATACTGCTTTACTGGTTAGACATTCGTGATCGACTTCTCCTTTAATGCACATATAATCAGAGACAGTGATATTAAATTCAGATTAAAAGTTCAAACTGCTCACCTTTTGTTAGAAGTAATGCTGGAAAAGGCTGCTGAGGGAGATCTGAGGCAAGCAGTGAGACACAAACAGGAAACAGGCGGGAAAAATAAAAATCAAGCAAAAAGCAAAGTCCACAAACCGATGCGGTTAAAAACAAACTGGAACTCTGTGGCTCAGACTGCACAATTGCAACTGCATCTATACATAAAATACAAAGGTAAATCCAACATGAGTAACGCGGGAGCAGGAAAAGCAGAACGGAGAACTGAGAAAGGCAGGAAGAGGAGGTGTTTGTGCAGCGCAGATGGGCGTGGCTGGAAGAGCGGTAACACCCTCCCTCGGAGCCCTTTTTTTTCAACAATGAAACGATGTTGGGTGATAAACACTTTTTTTTTAAAAAGCCTAATAATAAATACCATCTTTAATCCTTAAAAATACTAATAAAAATATAAATTGCCACTCTTTTCTGTTACCGTCATCAGCCCAGCCACACCCATCCCCCAATAGATAAAATACAACTGTTAAGTTGCATATTATCTATTATCTTGTATCTATCATCTTGTTTTATAACCCCCAAAACACAAACACATCCTCCAACCACACACACACACACACACACACACACACACGCATGTTTTGTTTTCAAACACCATTGCAGTGTATTTCGCACCTCAAACCTTTTGTAAACAATAAAACAAATACAAGTAAACTGAAACAAATTACAGGTTGCAATAAAATAAAGTACAAACTCTTTTAATAACAGAAATCTTTATGGTTTAATTTATTGTACGTGTAGTTTTTTTTAACTGTGTAAGAATATTTAACATTATGCTATCAATACATTTAAAAAAATGCCTCTCTTCAAAATGGGTTTAAAAACATAAACAGCTGTGGGATACTGTTTGTCCATGATTTGGACAGCCCAGTGCGGGCTTCTGACGCAGGGGGATACCTACCTTGGCACTAGGGCTGGTTATCATCACTGGTTTCTAGAATCGGTTGGATTCCAATTCGATTCAATTTTTCCTCAGACAGTCAGAAATATTATAATTTTGATCATTTATCAGTACTGATACTTCATCAGATGTTTAAGCATATGCAATATACACAGCAGATGCCTTTGTGTCAAAGTAACTAAGGTTAAAACACAGAAAAACATGAAGGAGATTTTCCTGGCCTGGCTTTTCCTTAAAAATATTCTGCAGTGGATCAAAAACTGAAGAAAACCGTTAATCAACATATGAACATTACCTGATGCTCTTTGAGGATAATAGCTTGCTTGGTATAATTAGAGAGACTGTAGATTGCATAGTGGGAGGGGGCTGGGGTGCAGGGCAGGAGAACAGCTAACCCCCACCCCCTGGACTGGAGGCCACAGTTACAAGCCTGTGGGAGGGCAACCCTCCAGGGCAAAGAGGAGAGTGGTGGAAAACTACTGAAGAGCATTCCCCCCCCCCCCCCCCCACACACACACACACACACACACATTCACAGATCAGCCTTAGGTGTGCTGATCTCCAGATGCATCTGTAAGGAAGAGGTGAAGAGTGGCAAATCCTGCAGCATCATAAGCTGTGAGATGTCGTCGTTCAGCACTGATGGCGTGTACGTGCCATCAAGTGAGAAAGCTGAAGACATCGCACTGATTCTCATGCATTTCGTCCACGCTTTGTGTTTACATCTTTGCGTGGAATCCGTTTACCTGCTCTCATTTGCTGATTTAGTTGTTTGGTGGTTGTTGATATAGTTTTCTTAGCTTTAACCTGAAATGCACAAGATTAATTTGTAATAAATAGAATATATATGATTATACATGAAGTATATAAAGGAATGTATATTCACACGCAAAAGAAACAAAGGATGGGATACCCATCTTCTGGCCTTCTTCTTCTTACCACATTTGGTTAGAGGAAGAAGGGTGGGGGAGTAGAAGTCATGCATACAACATGGCCAAATGGCTATCAATGCTTCTAAGGGGTCACTTAGGAGCATTCAGGATTCTTCCTCTAGTTTCCTGCATGATCAGTAAATCCAGACTTGGAAGTTCACAGTTGGAAATTACAGCAAAAAAAAAGCCAAAGGATTAGGTGCTGCCGAACACTATGAACTTACGAATGATAATTTTTTGGCTTTTTTCTCTTCTCGTACAATGTTGGATTACCATTTCAAAGTAATTGGAGAACACTATAGAGTTACTTTGCTATTGGATTATATTGACAGGGAACAGAAATAAATGCATCTTCAGGCCTGGATGAGCCCATCCTCTCTCTCATTCCACCCAAGATCAGTATTAGGAATCTACATTAGCTTAATTAAGTAAGTAAAATTCAAGTGATTTTATTAAGTGATTATTATTATTATTACTTGATTGATCTTTTGCTTTGCTTCTACTAAATTCCTTTAATGTAATATTCTGGATTCATCCATCCATCCATTCGCTTCCGCTTATCCTTTTCAGGGTCGCGGGGGGTGCTGGAGCCTATCCCAGCTGTCACAGGGCAAGAGGCAGGGTACACCCTGGACAGGTCGCCAGTCTGGTTATAAAAGGTTAGTTTGGCCATAAAAGTTAACAGATTATAGAAGAGAGCTGCTGATGACAGATGTGACTGGAGGATTGTAGATGACCTGCAAGGCCACTGAGATAAGAACGCTTTTACAGGAAGCAGGATCACCAATCATTCAACTTCCGGTTGAAAAATAGATTGTTTCAGTCTTTAAAGTTCATGGATAATTTTGTTGTATGTTAAAAACTGCTGTGGTGTTGCAAAATACTTTTTTGGCAGGCAGCTTATTTTTAGTGTCAGAAAAAAACAAGAACAGGGTTTGAAAAAAAAACATGTTTCCATCTTACAGCATAGAATCAATACAGAATATAAACAACAGAAACAATATAATAGCTAAAGTAGAAGCTGAGTAGGCAACTCCAGGCCTCGGGTGCCGGTGTCCTGCAGGTTTTAGATATTGTTAAGGTTCAAATATTGAGGAAGGAGAGTACAAACAACCATGGTCCAGAAGATCTTGGTCAAACAATTGATTTTAATGAATACACGCGTGGGAAGACCAGTTCCGTTCGCAGACAGGGCTGATCTTCGACTTAATCAAAGCATACACAGATTTTTATAGCATCAGGGTTTGAATTAATGACGCCCCTTCATACGTCACAGACAGAATATATACATACGTCAAATCAAAACCACAATGACTTTTAACACGGTTTTTAAAAGAACATTGTCTTCTATCTCGTCTGGAACACGAGCCCCACATCCTGCCAGACGCTGTTCCTCTTTCTTGCAGAGACAACAAGAAACTGTTCCTCTTTCACAGTTGCGAGTAAACATAACTAACCTCTCACCTATAAATGATTCCCTCTGAGTGTGTGTGTGTGGTGTGTGTGTGTTGTGTATATGTCGTCCTCAAATGCTCTCTCATCTCACCCGTTGCACTTCTGACCTTTCACCAGAACAGAGGCTCATCCTTATGTGTAACAACCTAATTGAAACTATATGTACTATATTGAATAAATGTTTTAATCAAGAACCTCTACTAAAAGCTTAATAAAAGGATATAAAAGTATACCAGGCAATTTGAATAACCTAGTTATTCAAATAGCCTCATCTAACCAGCTCCTCAGAATAACCTGCGCTTAGATTCTGCTTTCTGTTTCAGTTCTGCAAAGCCTGCATATCCTGTCAGAATCAGAATCAGAATACTTTATTGATCCCTGGGGGAAATTATTTTTTGTTACAGTGCTCCATTATAAACCAACATTAAGACAAGACAGACAATACACTAACTAAGAATAGTACAATATATACATATACATACATACATACATAAGTCACTCATAAATAAATAGCTGAAAAAGAAACATGTGTAGTTGTAGCAGCAAACAGTGTGTTAAGTGGATGCGTTGTACAGGGAGATGGCCACAGGCAGGAAAGATTTCCTGTGTCGTTCAGTGGTGCTTTTCGGTAATCTCAGTCTCTCACTGAACGTGCTCCTGTGACTGACCGGCATGTCGTGGAGTGGGTGGGAGGTGTTATCCCACATTGTCTTTATCTTGGACAACATCCGCCTCTCCGACACCACCTTAAGGGAGTCCAGCTCCATCCCCACAACATTGCTGGCCTTACGGATTAGTTTATTGAGTCTGTTGGCATCTGCGACCCTCAGCCTGCTCCCCCAGCATGCAACAGCATAGAGGATCCCACTGGCCACAACAGACTCATAGAAAATCCTCAGCATTTTCTGGCAGATGCTGAAGGACCTCAGTCGCCTCAAAAAATAGAGACGACTCTGGCCCTTCCTGTAAAGTGCTGTGGTGTTTTTAGCCCAGTCCAGTTTATTGTCAATATAGTCCTCCACAATGTCAACACTGACCCCCTGGATTGAAACAGGGGTCAAGTGTTTCCTGGTCTTCCTGAAGTCCACGATCAGTTCCTTGGTCTTTGCCACGTTGAGCTGCAGAGGATTCTGCTCACACCACGTGACAAAGGAGTCGACCACAGCCCGGTACTCTGTCTCATCATCCCTGCTGATGCATCCAACCACCGCAGAGTCATCAGAAAACTTCTGAAGATGGCAGGTCTCTGTGCAGTGGCTGAAGTCTGTGGTGTAGAGGGTGAAGAGGAAGGGGGAGAGGACAGTCCCCTGTGGTGCCCCTGTCCTCTCCCCCTTCCTCTTCACCCTCTACACAGCCTCTGTCAGCCTGTGGCTTAGTCTTTCTGAAAGACACACACACTGTTTAAACATCTGAATGCAATATCAATGCTGCAGATTATATTATTAATGCAATAGTAATGTTGATGATTATTAACAATAGCAGTAAAATAGTTTCCCTGCTCTCCACAATATCACCCTGGGAGAGAGATACTCCCTACAAGTTATGACAAAATTTGATTCGATTTGATTGATGACCCTAATCACGACCTTTTGACCTCCCCCCTCCCCCCCGGAAGTGTGTAATTTGATCCCCTAAGCGTGACGAATTGCATCCGGCGAAGGGAGGGGGAAACCCCCGGAAGTATGTAATTTGATCCCCTAAGCGCGCCACCACCACAGGAACGCAGCCCAGCAGCGTTCCTGTGTACTTGGACGGCGAAGAGATCTGCTCTCCCGAGGCCGCTAGCATGGGAGGCAGCAGCAGCGAGTGTTTTTTTTATTTTTTTATTTTTTTTTAAACTTTATTTATCACATTATAGACATACAGTCAGGTAAAACAGGGATCACATAAAAGATAACATTGTGGTAGTACAATGAGGAAC